TATAGTGAAGATTACTTTTTATAAGAGATATAATTTTTTGAAAAAAAAATATTTTTATAAGAGATATAGATAGTTAGTGGAGGATGATACGAATAGCTTGTATGTTGATATAGGCTTATAGTGAAGATTACTTTTTATAAGAGATATAATCTTTTGAAAAAAAAATATTTTTATAAGAGATATAGATATAATTATTTCTCCTGGGCCGTGGTGGACTCGTCGACAACAGACATTCAGCCTGTTCGCCTATTGATATCAGCCAGCCCAAACCAGCCAGCCAACAGTGTTTTCCTCTCAAAAAAAATTAACACCAGTCAGTCCAAACCAGCACCAGCACCAATCAGCGAACATGCCCATTAAAGGCGTCTCCAATGACCTTTCCAAATCGCCGGCCCAAAGAAAATAAAATGATGGAAAAAAAATCAAAGCATCATGACATGTAACAGAAAGGAAGCCAGAGCAGTGACACAGTCACACAGATGATATTGGAGTTCGTGCGAGCTCGCCGCTTCACGTCTCGCTAGCGAGCTCTGTGATGAATAAAATACACTTTCTGCTAGCGATTTCCCTATTAATATTTCTTCTGTGTGAGACTGCTTCCGGTCTTGCTGTAATTGGTGTGCGAGGCAGGTTGCCATTGGTGCCGTAGGATTTTAGATCGCTGGGAATGTATTAATTGTTTCTTGATCGAGAAATTTAACGGTTTTTGAAACGACCATACACATGCCTGCTAATTCCACGAGTCCTCCATTCCATTTCCACCATCGAGGAGAGTGTCCCATTCCCTCGTGATAGCGAGTCGCGAACCCAAATCCGGCCGTCGGTTGCGCTGTAGCAGATCTGATCCGACATCGGCCCATCTTGGTACACGTCAGCGTATCATTAGGTCTGGTTCAGTTTCTTCTCTAAAGTTTACTCCCTGTCACATCAGATATTAGACACATACATAGAATGTTAAATATAAATTAAAAAATAACTAATGACATAGATTACAACTAATTTGCTAGACGATTTTTTAAATCTAGTTAGTCTATGATTTAACAAAGTAGTGCTACATTAACGTATACTAATAATAGATTAATTAGATTTAATAAATTTGTATTTCGGATCACCGAAAACTTCTATAATTTATTTTATTATTATCGTTCCAACGTTCTACGTCACACTCAGATGTAACAGCCGACGTGACATCTATAGTTTAAACACCACCTAAACAACGCCCGTGCAGGCGTGCTCGGTGAAGCAAACCGATCGAGAGAAATGGCGACGCCAGGTCGCCGGGATATCTAACTATTTGCCACTCTTATGGTGGCTGTCTCTCCGTTTGCCAACTTTATCGTGCCAATTATAAAATTGCCCGAGAAAACAGTAACCTTGCTAATATTTTGCCATTTTCGCTGACGTGGCACGCCACTTCAGCGTGCCAGCATAGAACTTGACGTCCCCGTCTGCCCAGCTAAACGGCGCTAGCAGCTCCCGTCAGTGCTTGCATGGCTCCCGTGCGTGCATGCATGGCTCCAGAAATTGAAACCCGATGAATGTGTCTTTCCCGTGCGTGCATGGCTCCAGAAATTGAAACCGCCTGCCTACTTTCTACTGCACGTAGTACTTTTTTCTTGCCAAACAATTTTTTTCCTTGACACGGCCACACAGAGCTGCAGTCCGCTCGCTTCCGCCGTACCCACACGGCCACACACTACCGCCCTCTGCCGCTGCCGGGTCGGTGCAATGCACCGTTCGCTACGAGCAGAGGAAAGCATCTCTGATCTCTCCACACCACCTCCCACGGACCACGGTTCCACAGTCGACACACGTACCTGCAGTCTGTAGATGTTCACGTGAAATACGAGAGCAGTAACAGTCCATTACTGCTTGGCCGGCCGGACCGGAAGGGGTCAAAACTTCTCAGCAGTCTATGCGTCAGCGACGCCATGTCCATTTGCGTGGAGTGAGCTCCAGCTATTCAAAATTTAGCCGCCTCCTTGGACGGGGGAGAGAGCTTGAGCTGGGGGAGTTCTCTTTCGCTGTTTCTCGCTAATGCTTCTTTCTTTTGGACCTAGGACGAGAACAGAGACGGCAACGGATCGGATGTGCTGCAGCCGGGTGAGCATTCCGGTAATCCAATAATTTTGGATTGGATAATTAGATATCCGGGTATTAAAAAGTGCTATCCGATTTTGAATCCGAAAAAGCAATACCTGAAATTTCGGCCCTGTTCGCTTGAAATTATCAGTCATGGTACAGTGTTTTTCTCTCACAACAAATCAGCGAACAATACTTTTCAGTCTGGCTTTTCAACGAAGCGAACAGGGCCGAGGTACCAATAATTCAGGTTTGGATTTTACTTGATATACCAAAAAATGTCAAAACCAAAATTTTTGACAGAATTTCAGTAGCACATTAAAGCAATAAGCAATAATCATTAAACTAACTTCATGTCTTCATACCAAAAAAACAACAAAATAATTATCAAGCTAGCATAGATCTCCATTGAGCCATACAAGATAATAAGCCTGTTCGTTTCGGCTTATTTGCTCGTATCTGGCTTATAAGCCATGGCCAGCAGTATTTTCAGCCATGACTTATAAGTCAATTCAGCCGAAACGAACAGGACGATTAATAAATTTACATTGCATTGAACCACTTAATGTCTTCGTATTAGAAATAAAAGAGCAAAGAATTTGGATATTTCGGGTAATTTGGGTTATTTAACACATACTTTCTCCATTCCAAACTATAAGATATTTTTTGCTTTTTAAAATAGATATAGTTTTTACTATGCATTTAGATATATACTATATATAAATATATAATAAAAGTATTATATTTAGAAAATCCAAAACATCTTGTAATATAAAACGAGGCTACAGATACCGTAGAGATCAGCAATAGCCCCGTTCAAAAGGCAGCAGCAGGCCGGCCATCCTTATCGCCACCTCGACGACTGGCTTTAAAGCTGGAAAAGAAAACTCGCGCGCCGTGATGTAACCGGCTGGATCTCCAAAAGATTTTTTTGCGTCGGCGGCAGGCAGGCAGCCGTGTGCGTGCGTGCGTGCCCATACAATAATCCTCTTCAACTTCAAGGCCTCATCTCAAGGGTGTTTATTTCAACTTCAATATGAGCTGGCAGCCTTCTTGACACTTGATGTCTGGATGAGTGAGTGATCAGGATAGCTAATGCAGTTCAGCACGGTTTTTTTATTATTCCAGATTAATTTTGTGGGGGCAAAGTCTCGTCCGGCCAGGTCACGGTCAAACTCCATCAGTACCAGTGCACCAGTATTACTGTACTTCCTTTTTGTTGAGTGAAGAAAAAGGAGAAGTCCGGCAGTGCATCATTAAATCAAGAGGAAAAAAATTGTTTGGCAAGAAAAAAGTACTACATGCAGTAGAAAGTAGGCATGCGGTTTCAATTTCTGGAGCCATGCACGCACGGGAAAGAGACATTCATCGGGTTTCAATTTCTGGAGCCATGCATGCACGCACGGGAGCCATGCAAGCACTGACGGGAGCTGCTAGCGCCGTTTAGCTGGGCAGACGGGAACGTCAAGGCACGCTGAAGTGGCGTGCCACGTCAGCGAAAATGTCAAAATATTAGTAAGGTTACTATTTTCTCAGACAATTTTATAATTGATACGATAAAATTGACAAACGGAGAGACAGCCACCGTAAAAGTGGCAAATAGTTAGATATCCCCAGGTCGCCAGCTGCCATAAACAAGCACCTCGCACCGGGCACATGAATTGAATTGAAGCCCCGCGTGGTTCCTAGTATATTCCATTGCCAAGAGCAGGTGCGTCGATTCCTGCTCTCCGAGAGGACAGGAGCGGAGGAGGAGGAGCGGCGGCGAGTGGGGAGGAGAAGGCGAGCCCAGCCCAGCTCTAGCGTTTCCCTTCTTCCCCGTGGCGGCGGCTCTTGCTTACTTGGGCTGCTCCCTGTTCCGGCGGATCCTGGTATTGAGACTTTCTCGATCTGATTTCCTCTTCGTGTTCTTGTTCTTGTTCGGGTGGATCGCTAGAAGGTGTGGCGGATTCCGTTGCGTCCTGTGTTTTGTGGTGATACAAATGCTGCTTTCTTGTTCGGCCACAATCTCCTAAAGGCAGTGGACGTCTGCTACAATCCCCCCTTTTTTGTTCTTTGTTTATAGTACTTTATGTATACCGATACCGTTAGAACGAAATCATAATTGATCTTTTGACGGGGAAGGCGTGCAGATTTTTCACTGCAGGTAGAGATCTCGTTCCCCGCCTTTGGGATGTGCGTATCTCTTATTTCTGCCACGTCCTGTCAGATCCACAGTGAGCTTGTTGGCACTTTCGGGCAGAAGTTAAGAATGACAGAGTCTTCCCTTGTAACAAACTGGTCAAAGCCAACCTTCCATGTAGTTGTCAGATACTCAGATATGATCACAGATTCACAGTAAACTTGCACTGTAGCTGCCCGCAAACAGAAAAAACTGCAAACTGAGAGTCAAGGAGTGGGGCATACCAGATGTAACTTGGGTGCTGCCTATTCGTTGCTCCTTTCCATATTCAGTTTAGATGTAGTTTAGATGTTGAGTACCTTTCAAGACATGCCATGGCCCATGCCATTCTTCTTAGATAGAAACACGTTAATGCATACATATTTTTGTGTATGCAGAAATGGGGCCATCCTGGATGTGCTCAATTATTCTCTCTTATCCCCCACCCCCCACCCCCTGAAAACAAAAATGCACCCCCTGAAAACAAAAATGCATAATTCATGGATTGCGCAGTATGTATGTATTCTGAAAGCAAGGTATTACTTGTCAATGAATTAATAATATATTTAGTACTCTCTTGTTCCTTATATTTGCGTATGAACAAGTAAGTGTCTCACTTTTCACCATGCCGTTGTTACCTTTTATACTTCGTGAGAGTTGGTGTGTGGCTGCCTACTACTGTTATTTTAACTATATACATAATCCATTTTAGATCTGAGCATCATTCAGAGTGGAAGAAATATGTTTAGGAGAAAGCATGGCCCTGATTTCAACTCAAATGATGCTGAGCAAAGAGAAGCAAAGGTAGGTTTAAAATTTGTCACCTCATCATAAATTTGTGGAACTATTGGAATGCACAATACATTATTTCTAATTGCAATATTTTTTTGCATTCTTAGCTTTGTTCTTTGTGCAGTACTGATATCCAAACAGAGAAAATATAGTAACCCCCCCTTGTTACGTTCTTTGTCACATACTTATTACTCATTATTTTGATCCCTTGCGCCAGCCAAGGAAATAAAAAAGAAGCTAAATGAACTCAGTCTGACTGACACTTTCAACTCATCCTATGCTTACATTTTTTTTTGAAACAATGGCAGGAGCTCTGCCTTTCAATTAAGATGAAATGAATTTTATGTACAAGAAAGGGTAGCCAAATGTGATGCCAACCACAGGACAGCCTGTGCTTACATTTATGTACTGTAAACTGGATCTAGCAGTGATTGTTGCTGCTTCAGGGCCTGTTTTGAACTAGAAATTTCATAGGAAAAACGCAGGAACAGGGGAAATTTCCTGCATTCCAAACGGGGCCTAAAAGGTGTAGTAAGTCAACAACAAAGGGAGATATATATCAGTTTCTCTTCGGAATATTATATGTCTACATCATGAGCCAAATGGTTTATACCACTTTATTTGCTCTATAGACACAGTCGCCATTGCCATTCTGATCTTCACCTGTTACTGAAGTAGTACTATTTTAGGATGTCAGGACTCTCAATCTAATGCATGTACAATAATATCCCATCCAATTACACTGTGGTCCACTTTCTAACACTATGTTATGCTCTGGTACATTTAAATTGTTTTAAAGTTGTGCTTCACATTGAAATTGTTGTACATAAAAAGCGCATGATGATCACTGAAGGTGTATGTGTAATGTGTCTGAATGGACAAGTGTTCTGTACTTCTGTTCATCTAGTTGTAACATGGCTATGTGTAATATGTCTGCTAACTTTGAGCAAATTTATGTTAGTCTGTTTCTAGTTGTTACACAAACCCTCCATTCAACAAACTCATATCGCGGAGAGTTGAGCCTATACATGTATAATGCATACAGGCCTGACAAATGGTTTTAGTTTCTTTGTTGATGTATCAGCTATTTTCTTGACAGATACTCATGCAACAATCTCCTATGAGCAGATAAGTGAACTGAAAGCTGCACTTGGGACTTTGTCTGCCCGTGGCGAGAAGTACTGCGGTGAAGCATGCTTGAAAAGATATCTGGAAGCCCGTAACTGGAATGTTGCTAAGGCGAGAAAAATGCTGGAAGAAAGTCGCAAGTGGAGGGCAGCTTACAGGCCAGAGGATATTCGTTGGGTAAAATTTGCTCTTCCTTTTTTTGCCATCCATGCATTGCTCTAGTTTTATTTCGCTGAATCCTAGCCAAGTGACTAAACATCATATTAACTGCCTTTTAGCCTGATGTTTCTGTTGAAGCGGAAACAGGTAAAATGTACAGGGCAAGTTTCCGAGACAGGGAGGGCAGAACTGTTGTTGTCATGAAACCTACAAAACAGGTAAGAAGTTATCTGTTTTAAAGTGTCACCCTTGCTATTCTTTTCTAGTTTCTGAAAATTTTCAGTCTCCCTAGCTTCCTGAGCTCAGGATTCACCTGTATGCTATTTCAAAATTTCAGAATACTTCGTCCCATGAAGGGCAGATACGGTTCCTAGTATATACTTTGGAGAATGCAATCTTCAGCCTACCTGAAGGCCAAGAAAAAATGGTATGGCTGATAGATTTCACTGGATGGACAGTGGCCCATGCTTCGCCCATAAAGACTTGTAGAGAAACTGCAAATATCCTGCAAAATCATTTTCCTGAAAGGCTGGCCATTGGATTTCTATTTAATCCCCCAAAAGTATTTGAAGCTTTTTATAAGGTAAGTGCTCTCGACCTTTATGCATCTATCTGATTTTAACCACAACAAATGAAAAAACAACATGTAGTGTTGATACAGACAAAAAATTGCATTTCATTCTTCCAACTTAAATGTTTCAAATTCTTTCAGGTTATCAAAATTTTCCTTGATCCAAAATCGATTGAGAAGGTGAACTTCGTGTACCAGAAGGATGAGGAGAGCATGAAGGTCATGTATAAATACATTGATCCGGAAGCACTTCCTGTAGAGTTTGGGGGCAAGAACAATGTGGTGTACAACCACGAGGAGTACTCTGAGTTAATGATACAAGATGACATCAAAACAGCAAACTTTTGGGCGGTTGATGCAAAAACTGACCACGCTAACTCTGCCATCAATGGGACCTTGGTTCCTGAGGTTGCACCACAGCCATCGTTGCTTGCTGCTAAAGCTAGTTGAAGAGTATCTGCTTTGTATGAGCAAATTGAGATTGGTGGGGTAACAGAATCTTGAGAGAAATAAATGAAATAAGAAACATGGTATACTCTCGTTCGTCCTCAAAAGTTGTTCCAATACTGGAAGTTTATTCAGCATACAAGGTACCGCCCAGTTGTTGTACTTAAATCATTACTGAATAAGTACTCCTATGTGTCAGTGATTATCACATGGAACAATAACTAACATATGCTTAACCATTTTTCTCTTATTCCTTGTTCTATATATTTCTCTTTTCACTAATCGGGTGTTTCATTTGATGATTTAAAGGCTTTAAGCCCCGTCCTAGTACTAACTCTGCTTGAAACAGCAAGTGTCTCTTTCATTAAATGGCATAGAAGAAACTCTGCAACCTATGAGTTTTCGAGAGAAAAAAACCCTGAAACCTATGAATTGCTTCTCTGTTTCTTTCCTGGTGTTTCGTCTTCTGTTCTAAGATGTCAACTGTTTTGAAATTTTGATGACGGTAATTCCATTAACGAAATGAAGATGTGAGGAGCTGAGGGGAAAGGGACGAGGGAAAGGGGTAGGGAATAGTTGATGACGCCACTATTATTAAGGCCTGGTTTGGATGTGCATGTATCTACTTCAATCCACATGTGTTGGAGTGGATTGACATGAAACTTAGTTTAATTCCACCCCAATCCACTTCAATACATGTGGATTGAGACAAATACATGCACATCTAAACAAGACCTAAGGCGGAGATTAAAGAAAAGGTCACATGGAAATTTTGTGCAGCAGTAAGGCTTGGTGATAAAAAAAAGGGTATGTCTACTCGTCACTAGAGTGTTCCCACACTCTTCTTTTGTACTGCATCCTCTTTCCCTCCCTCCTAAAGCGCCGCCGCTGCCTATTGTCCCGTCGCGGCGTGGTAGGGTCTCATCGGAACTCTGCCGTCGCGAGCTCCGATGAGACTCTAACTCGCCTGCGGCGGCCTCCTCCTTCCCTTCCCCCCTGCTCCCGCTACCGCCATGGCCATGGGCACCCCCGCCTCGACCTGGTCCAACCACCTCCTACGCCGTTGGAACCTAATTGCCGCCTTCCCACTGTCCCCACCGCCTAGCCGGCCATCCTCCCAAAAACTTTCTTCTAAAGCCGCCGGATTTGAAGAAGAGGGGGAGAGAAAGAGAAGAGATCGAATGAGTGTTGGATCGCTCCAAAACACTATGAGTGTTGTATAGAATTACCTCAAGGGGAAAAGCTACTGGGGAGGAGTACGGAAAAGCTTGGTGATAAAAAAAAAGGTCACGCGACAAATTTGTGCAGTTCACATGAAAATTTTTTAAAAAAAGTTTGTGCAGTTCACCTGAAAAATATAAAGGAAAAAGCTTGGTGATAAAAAAAAAAGATCACACGACAAATTTATGCAGTTCACATGAATTTTTTTTAAAAAAGTTTATGCAGTTCACCCGAAAAATATAAAATAGTTTGCGCCGGGAAGGGTTCGAACCTTCGACTTTTTGTTTAGGAAACAAACGCTCTATCCGCTGAGCTACAGGCGCCATGTATTATAATACTCCCGTCACTTGTTATTGGGCCAAGCCAGTACAGCACAAGAGCTCTCCCAAAAGGGATTTGCAGATTTGGCCTTTTCATAGAGGTCCCATCAAATTTTTGGCCTTTTCTGAACGTTTCTGGCCCACCTAGGATGGCGCGATCTGCCCCCTCTTAACATCAAACTTGCACGGAAAACAAAGAAATTCAAAGTGAGAAAAAAAAAGAAAAAGAAAATGGTAAGCATGAATGAAAAGAACATTTCTGCTATGATCAACAATGAAACAATCAATTACAGTAGGGAGAAGAAAAAGAATCAGGTCGCCATTCTTTCTTTAACCGAGAGGAGGGGAAAATGAGAAAATGGACAGAAGAGACACCAAACTTCCAACTGTGAAGAATTTTTCACTGCGCCGACTGCATGCCATTGTCGTCAACCAAGGTACACCAACGACGTACATGCCACCATTGCTACTTCCCCCAAAAATGATTACCATGGCACCAGTGTGCTGTTGTGAAGCCATTGACTAGAAGAGAATTCACGTTCCTGACTTTTTGGACGAAAGAATTCTATCAGAAGCAGCCAGCGGAGCTCTAACAGAGCCCTCCTCCGTAGGGATTCCCTCTTTACCGAAAAATGATCAGTAAGAAAGATTCTCCTCCATCCTTAATCCTCGGTGTCACGAGAGCCGGACGGCTCAGGGAAGATCTCCTTGGATTGCCTCCTACGGGAGGAAGAATGATCCCCATTGCTCCCGCCAGACGATTTGATTGTCTCTGAGCGTTTCAGAATGTTGTCATCCCTAGAAGGACCTATATCAGACGAGCTATGCCGCCAACTCCCAAAGAGTGCAGCGTTCCATGAACCCCGTGACGATGTTGCTCTCAACCTGGCCGAGCTATTGCCGTTGTCTTCTCTCACCACCTTCAAAGGGTTCTCTAGTGCTTTTAGGATGTACTTCATTGGTGGGCGTTTAGAAGACCGAGGATTCAAGCAGGACTTGGCAACAATCGCCATTGCCCAGACTTCCTCCAGATGGTCCTCGTCAATGATAAGCGTTGGATCAATGATCTTGCTCATAAGCTCCTTCTCATAAATATTGACGTACCGCAGGGTGGCATCAAGCCAATCGCTTGTGGCAGCATCATTTGATGCACTGATACCAAGTCCCCCTGTCACCAGCTCCAGTAAAACTTTTCCAAAGCAATAGACATCATATGGGCAAGTTGCAGATGGGGAACCTGTTTACAGAGAAAGTTGGTCAATTAACTTGCATAACGTAAAAAATAGAATTAGAGACGATGTTCAAAGCATTTTTCACAGACAATAGGACAGTTGAGCCATCAATTTTAGCGTGAAACTGAGGACTAATGACCAATTCTCAAGATTAAAAATGCTTGAAAGCAATGAAAGGTTGCATGCACAAACTCACCAGAAGAACCTTGATCTGCCGTCCTGCATTCCCACAAAAATAAAGCATCAGGAGATGGAAAGGGACTTATTTGATATTAGAAAATGAAACTACACCAAGGAAGCATTTGATATGTAACTATCAACTAAAACAAGGATACTCATGTCCATTGACAATAAGATATGGCAAGTAAAATGAAAGGAAAGGAAATAAAATAGTTCACGATTACCTACGCTCTCACGGTCCTACAAGCATTAGTTTTATCGTACTTATTGACATCATTTAGATTTTGCATAGTGCCACAGCACAGCGTCAACATGACAAAGATCAGGCCAAGAAACAGCAGGTTCACCTAGTAATTGACTGGAATCATGTTGACAACACGCTATTTAAATTCACCAAATATCCAATTATTCATTTAAAAAGGTAATCCATCTAAATCCATGCTACACAACAGGTAAATACTAATTTCATGGTTAACACTTGAACAAAACTACCGTTGAAACAGGATGGTGCAATAGTGAATACAATATAAGTATGGATTTGCATGCTCCACAAAGGAAGCATGTAGCGACGAAAAGAGAAACAAGCCATGCAGAGATGGTGTCTGAAACTTACGAAGAAAATCTTAACAGCTTTGTGATAACATTTTGGTGACCTTCCCCTTCTTGAGGACACACCTCACTCAAGCTACCAAGGCGCACATCAAATTTATCATCAAGAAGGACACTGCTGGCTTGCACATCCCTGTAGTAGAGAACCGACAAAATTAGTCAACAACAAGCGTTTGCATTGCATCTAATTTATTGGTCTTGGAAGGAAGCGTCTACGCAGTCAGAATCCTACGTGTTGCCATATAGAACTGACAACGACAAAACAAACAGAATTGATTGCGATCTACTGCATGCCTCACATTGATAACAAAACAAAAAAATCCCTGGTGAAATCAGGGTGACAAAGAACTTCCCATTATTTTTTATGGCAAAATTGGTGGGTATTTAAATGATATAGACCGGCAGAAACATCTCAGCAAAGATATTAAAGCAAATAACAGCAGTGTCCACATTGAATTTCCAGTACTCAGATAATGCACGGAATATGTCGCATCAAGCACGAAACACTAATTTTCTGATTCAGCATTACTGGCACACATTAGCATATGTTCAATGTACTATTCCTAGCTGTCACCGAATCTATGGGGAAAGTTTATTGCAGTAACTGCTGAAACTCTGGTACCAAAACGAAGAAAAACAATTATCAGAGCACCCACAGTGAAACACACATAGTGGAGACCGACTGTCAACCACTAAACCCCATGTAATGATAAAGATTGAATTTCTAAGGTAATTCTAAAACTTTATCATCTTATAAACAAAAATAATTTGCTAACAGATACACAGCAAACAAATATAACATCGACAAAACAACATAGAAGTTTATACCTGTGAACCATTGGTGGAGAACACTCATGATGCAGATAGCAAAGAGCCTCAGCTACCCCCGTTGCAATCTTCAACCTCTTTATCCAGTCCAAAGATTGCATGCCCTCGTCTTCCTCCCTTGACTTTCTGTGCAGTGCACTTGACAGATCACCATTTCGGACAAACCTATACACAAGAACCTTTTCTTCTTCTTTATCAAGGCAGTGCCCCAGAAAAGGAACCAGCCTTTCATGCAATCCTTTCGTAAACAAATCTAATTCTGCCAGATATGCATCCTTCCGAGCCACGCGCGAAGTGATCCTCTTCACCACCACGGCAGTCCCGTCTTGGAGAACACCATGGTATAGATCACCTGAATGACCGTGCCTGATGAGCCTCTCTTCCCCAAATCCCGAGGTGGCATTGGTAAGTTGGTCGTAAGCAAATGAATCACCCACTTTCGCCATGTTTGCGGACAATGCAGAAGGCTGTGTGCCACCAGTAGCTGCAGCTGTGCCGATAGCTGATACTCCCGATGGGGCACTTGGTGACGCCCCACTTTCCCTCTGATCGTTCCTCCTCCCTGTCCTCCCAGAACACACAAAGCAGAACACAATGGCTGCAACCACGGCTA